TATTGTAGGACCACAATCATGAATTGTCATATGATTAGATGTTTGTTAATCATTAGGACAATACAATGTGCAAATGAGACATGATGATGACAAGTAGAAAGGAAAGGAAAGGAAGGAGATGAAAAGGTTAAAGCCCAAGTGAAATGAATGAAGCTAATGCATACCACGTGTAGCCTAATCGACGTAGCCACTCCAAGAAAATGTGGCATTTTCCTCGTCCATAATGTCAAAGAAAGTATATCTTGTTTGGGGAAATCGATAGAGCAAAAAGAACTATTAAAGAAAGAAACCCCCCCCGAAGTGGAAAGTGGCATCCATTTTTATATGAAATTAAAATCTCTATATTTATTCTTTATTTTTTTACATGGATAATGATAAATATGCCACGCGCATACATGTATATATATATATATATCGGTATTGATGTACTGTATATCAATACACCAATATGTATCAAATTTCATAAAAATATTAATATTCATAAAAAAATTCTAATTTTGGGATTTTTAGCTTAATTTAATGATAATTTTATTTTATTTAAATAATAGTAAAAATGAATTGAGGTGTAAATAAAAAATAAATTATATTTTATCAAATTAATAGTTTGATTGAAACTGATTATTGATTAGAAATTTTAATGATGAATAAGAGTGTGAAAAAGAGTGAGAAATAGAGTGAATAGAAGCGTTTAAAATAAGATGGACCGAGAGAGATTTAAATTTTAGAAAGAGATCTCAATGGTCAAATCGAGTTAAACTTAACTTGAAATTTTGAAAAGTATTGACTCTTATTAATAGATATAGCACGAGTTTCAACTATATTAACTGCATGACACTCACGACTAATTCTTGTCCTGTTTCTTATGTACCGTTGGATTGATATATGCGTCAATTTCATGTTACTTCGGATGGTACATCAAACAATGATCATATACATAGAATATATCATATCAACATCGAGTTAGTCATTGACATGTCTGCCTTAATTTCTTTTTCGTATACCGCATGGTACTCGAAAGAAATAAATAAAATAAGGATGGGACTTGATATTTTTATAATAAATATTTATATAAAAATTTAAGATGGCACCAAAACTAAAGATCATAAAAAAAATTAATATCATGGATCGATCACAACTCAATATTTCGAACTAATTACATATTACTCGTGCAGTTAGTTACCCTTAGTATTTCGATGCTTATATTTTAAATAGTTATGTTGGCATATATATATATATATATAGTTACAAAATCAAAATATTTATGTTCGTTCACCCTAACATCATTGATTTTAGTAACGGAAACATAAAAACAAAAGATAAAAAGATAATTTTAATGTCCTAGCCGGTGATGGTAGATAATGTCAGTGGTGGTGGACGATGACGTCGTTGGGGGCCGCAAGTGATTATTATAAATGAAAAGAGCAACGACATGAGGTAAGGATCACTCTGCATTTGTTTTTATCATTTATTTTCGTATTTTTATTGATAAAATTGATGACATTAAGGTAAATAAATCTAGATAATTTAATTTTATAATTATAGAGATACCAATATAACTTTTTAAAATGATAGCAGTAGATAATAATTAATTAGCCCGAGACCACTTAGTATTATTGCAACAATTATCAACAAATTTATCATATTAGTGTCTCTTACATTTCTTCGCTCGTGTCATTTTTTTTCTTAAAATATTTTGAGAGACAAGATTTGCGATAGATTTGTGTCAAGATCTCGACTTTGAAATTGGAGCGTATGGGACAACTACATCAAAATCATTGTCACAGTTGGAGATATTGACACATATATGATGGTCCTCCAACTAAAAAATTAGATTTCAAGGATCCAATTGATGAAATAGAGGCTCAGAAGATGAATTCGAGTCTAAAAAATGGACATCATCATCATCAACATCATAGCGGCCACGATCAACATAGTTTACCATTTGGATTGGCAAGAGAAGAAAATGATATGTTGCAAAGTACCACATGAATGAAAATGATCATTAGACCACCAATATTTTGTTATTATCACATGAACCTAAAAAAAAAAAAAAAAGTGGGAGCTTGTTTGGTGAAATCTTCCTATCATGTCCTTTAATCTAGCATATATAATTTATAATTTAAGTACAATCCCAGTCTTTTGGCCTATAAAAAAAAATAAATCCATTATTATTATTATTATTTCTGAAAGGTCCCTTTTTTTTTTCATATTTCTCAAAGAGTACCCTTTTATCATAATCCTTTAAATGCCCAATTGGAGAATTTCATTATATGAATTATGTAAAAAAATACTGTAAATCTATTTTAAAATATTATAAATGATATAAAGGTCATTCTACTTAGTTTAGTTGTTCTTATTTATGGACCAATAAGAATTTTTTTGAAATCTTATTTTTCAGATTAGCTAGATTTCATTGGGTTTTGAATTCATTTGTTTCGGTTAAGTTTTTGAACATGCTTATACCATTTTGGTGGAGATGTAAAAAATATTATATATAATAATTTAAATCTTATACATGCAGGATATATTACCAGTACTATTTTAGTTATGTTGATAGGATATTTTAAGAATTACGATAAATATGAATCATTCTTTGAAAAATATAAATAAAAAATGGGCACCTCTCGGAAAAAAAGCTAAAAAGAGAATATTTTTTCGTGAATTCATCCTAAAATAATTAATTTAGTGGGTCAAATCAGACAAATCAAATTGTGTTCGCTCACCGATACATTTATAAGTCTCGAGATTAAGACGTACTTCAAAGGTTGGCCATGTGAACTTGCACGCATGATAAGGATGGGGAAGTGTGCTCAGCTTCTTTTCTCTCTCTCTCTCTTTGTTCATCTCCTTTCTTTCTCTCACTTTGGTGCACTTCATTGGTGTGGGAGATCTAATAACACAAAGGGGGGTTGGTGTAGTGAAGGCGTCGTCGGTAAGGAGAGATTAGAGATGCGGTGAAGACGATGCGATTGTGACTAGATGATGACATCTCAATCCTTGTTTCCTCATTAACTTATCATAGCGACATCACACGTTTAGCATCTCGATCTCTATATTTTATGTTGACCCTCTTAAAAATAAAAATCTATATGAGGGTTAGAAATTATGATTGATGATGATATAAAGATAGAATAGCTCAAGATGTAAGGGTAGATAAGATATCATAAGTGGAAGAAGGAAATATGAAACAAATATGAAATAAAACAAGTGAAAAAACTGCTAAGGGATTAGAACACATGGACAACCTTATGCTACACGATCCTTAAAATATTAGTATCTATCAATCCGATAGATCGATCGGATCATTCGTTTTCATCAATATCGACTCGATATCATCTTGGATTTTCAATCATCCCAATACACTTATATCAACATCAATATTAAATGATTTCATGTAATTGTCTTGTAAGTTAATTTTTTTACTTAATTCCAGTAATTACCTGAGCTCATTAGTTCTTTCGAGTAAATATACTAATTATCATAAATAAATATACCCTTCAGATATGGTTAAAGTCGAAAACAACTATTAACACCTCGAGCATAGCTTGATTGAAAGATTTTGAATTTAATTTAATCAAATTGAATATGTTAAATATCTGGAAAACAAAATTGACCTCCGTGTCTTTGTTATTTGTTTCAAACATAAGGCTGTGATGATATCAGAACAAAGATTAGTCATGTTTAAATGAACAGTGAGAGATCGATGTTTCCAGTACATTCATGATGGATCAGATCATAAGAGTCGTACAATAATTAAACATCACGAATACCTCTCATTTTGCTAACAAAATGCACTACGAAACACATGTAAAATGCTGGCTGTAAAAACTACTACACACACATGTTCAAATGTTTGACAAAAAAAAAGAAGAAGAGGATTTTGTCATTATAATTGATTCCACGACGAGGAAGAAAAAAAAGGGAACCAAAGAGATTCAACACGTTTCCAACGAGAGCAAAAGATTAGGCTCTTTCGAAAGATAGTCGGAGACACATCCCACATACCTTCTTATAACTTTTTCTCGTATATGAGACGAGGTGGTCTTTTTGTCTTTCAAATATATTTATAAATTAAAATTAATAAAATAATTTTTTTAAAAAAATTAATTAATTCTCAAAGGATGACACTTCTCCTTTTTTTAATAAATAGATATATCCTTGATTTTTTAGATTTATTATATTATTTTATGTAATCGAAAGAATAAATCAAATCAAACAAAATTAGATTAATATTATTCTCCTTTTTTTTCACCCCTTTTTTCTTCGTCGTGATAAGAAAAGAAAAAAAATAGAAAAAAAAAGAGGAGGAAAAAAAAAAAGATAAAAGAGACGAAAAAATAGAAAGTCGGGTTGACATGAATTAGGACTAACATGAATTAAATCACAAAATTTAAAAAAATAAAAATAAAATAATAGGATAAATTAGAATTTATAGAAAAAAAAGTCATTGGATAAATTTTAATAAAAATACATCATATGATAAAAATAAATTAGCCTGATAAATAAATTTTAATAAAAAGATATCATCTTCATTATTTATTTTTTAATAAAAAATAAATAAATAATCTAAATTAATAATATTTATAAAAAAAAATCTATAGTAATATTAAATTAGGGAACGTTGGAATGTGAATGGAGCTGATGAAAGCAAAGGGTGGGGGACCAGTTCAACACAAACACACTTGAGCCCACCAGTAGCGGCGTGTCACTTGGCGGAGCGTTGCCGCCTCCTTCCTCTCTCCTTCGTCCAACCCCACAAAGGTGGACGATCCGGCGAGCGCACCAATGGAAGCACACCACGTGCCGAGCATCCACAGTGCTAAGCCGGAAATATAAGTCTGTCCATCCAACCAAAAGAGCCATCATTTGATGACCTTCCACCACGTGGGCTTCTCGGAGGCGTCGAGACGGAACGATCCCCTTCGTTGAAGTCTCGTCCTTTCCCCTCTCCCTCCATTATAAATAGGAACGCCACCAGCGTTTCAATTCAAACACCTCCACCACTTCCTTCCCCTGCTCTCCTTGCAGTAGTCGAAGAAGACGACACCACCGTCACTCTCCAGTTTCTCCAACTCCAGCTCCTCCTCAGCTGTCACGACACCATGACTACTGCTACCAGTGCCATGACTTCTACTGTGCGATCAGCAGCCAATCCAGTGAAGCTGATACGCAAGCACGCCGCCCCTGCTACGCTAAGAATACGCTGCTCCGCCTCCAATTCGCTCCTTAACTTGACATCAGACGCCAGCCCCGCCTACTACCTGGCTCCTTGTCATAAGGAGGTGGCGCCAACTACCGTCGCGATGCCGGCGAGCAAGCCTGACCAGTCGACGCAAAGCTGCGGCGCGAGGCCGAGATGGAATTTGGTCCAGCGGATGGCCGCCGCGGCGCTAGACACGATCGAGGACGCGTTCGTGTCGAACGTGCTCGAGCGGCCGCGCCCTCTGCCGAAGACGGCGGACCCCGCCGTCCAGATCGCTGGAAATTTCGCCCCCGTCGACGAGCAGGCGCCGTGCCATGACCTCCCTGTTGAAGGCCGCATCCCGTCGTTCATCAGCGGGGTGTACGTCCGCAACGGCGCCAATCCTCTGTTTGAGCCTGTGGCGGGGCACCACTTCTTCGACGGCGACGGCATGGTGCACGCCGTCCACCTCCGCAACGGCGCCGCCACCTACGCCTGCCGCTATACCGAGACGGAGCGGCTCCGGCAGGAGCGCGCCATCGGGAAGCCGGTCTTCCCCAAGGCGATCGGCGAGCTCCATGGTCACTCGGGCATCGCGCGCCTGCTGCTCTTCTATGCCCGCAGCCTCTTCGGCCTCGTGAACGGCAGCCGCGGGATGGGCGTCGCCAACGCCGGCCTCGTGTACTTCAACGACCGCCTCCTCGCCATGTCCGAGGACGACATCCCCTACCACGTCCGCATCACTCCCTCCGGCGACCTCGAGACTGTCGAACGGTACGACTTCGGCGGACAGCTCCGCTCCTCCATGATCGCGCACCCGAAGCTGGACCCGTTTTCGCGCGAGCTCTTCGCGCTCAGCTACGACGTCATCCAGAAGCCTTACCTCAAGTATTTCTACTTCTCCCCTGACGGCAAGAAGTCCCCGGACGTGGAGATCCCCCTGGAACAGCCCACCATGATGCACGACTTCGCCATCACCGAGAACTACGTTGTGGTCCCGGACCAGCAGGTGGTGTTCAAGCTGCAGGAGATGATCCGCGGCGGCTCCCCGGTCGTCTACGACCAGGCCAAGACCGCCCGCTTCGGCGTGCTGCCCAAGTACGCCGCCGACGCTTCGGAGATGCGGTGGGTCGACGTGCCCGACTGCTTCTGCTTCCACCTGTGGAACGCGTGGGAGGAGCCGGCGACCGGCGAGGTGGTGGTGATTGGATCCTGCATGACGCCGCCGGACTCCGTGTTCAACGAATGCGAGGAGCGCCTCAACAGCGTCCTCTCCGAGATCCGGCTCGACCTCAACACCGGCAAGTCCACGCGCCGCTCCATTCTGTCCCCTGCCGATCAACTCAACCTCGAAGCCGGAATGGTGAACCGGAACATGCTGGGGCGGAAGACTCGGTACGCCTACCTGGCCATCGCCGAGCCATGGCCCAAGGTCTCGGGGTTCGCCAAGGTCGACCTCTTCACCGGCGAGATCAGCAAGTTCATCTTCGGCGACAGCCGGTACGGCGGCGAGCCCTACTTCCTGCCGCGCGATTCCAACTCGTTGAGGGAGGACGACGGCTACGTTCTCACCTTCATGCACGACGAGAAGACGTCCGCGTCGGAGCTACTGATCGTGAACGCCGTCGACATGCGACTCGAGGCCTCAGTCAAGCTGCCGTCGCGCGTTCCCTATGGCTTCCACGGGACCTTCGTCGGCTCAAAAGACTTGGAGTCACAGGCCTAGCAAAAGCCCCGTCCATCGCAGGAGACTACACCTGAGGGATGCCTGCAGAGCACCCCGGAGAGTCTCCTCCCTCGCTTCTTCTTCCTCCTAGTTCATGTCGGTTCTGTAAATTACAGGTAGTGGCAGTTAACACCGTGTGCGTGAGAGAGAGAGAGAGAGACCAGCTCGTAGCTTTTGGGGCTGTAGATAGGCTTGCCGAGCTCAACTGGCCTTTGCGTCCCTCTCCTGTTCATCCTACAGATAGACAGCGACACCAATTCCCCACACCATCTCGCCTCCGTGAGGGGATTTATGTTTCCTCTGTTTTGTATACTGTTCTGTATGCGAGCTTATACATGTGTTGTTCTTGTACACGATCCATTCCTCTGCTTTTTAGCTTCTTCTCTGCTGAGGTCGAAGAAACCGCTGGCGATTGGAACAGAGCAGGTGGGAGAAAGGAACAGGGTCCAATGGCGTCCCTTTTTGATGTTGGAAATCGACATGGGAACAAGGAAAGAGAAGAAAGCCCCCTCCTCCCCTTGCGCGGTGGTGGTGTGTGGCCTGTGACTCGCACCTGCAACCCCGTCGCTCTCGGTGGTCCTTCCTGCCTCCCCAGTCACTAGGAGATTCCTTCCCCGGGGAGGCGGCAACTGTCCTCAAGGTGTTCGACGAAATTTACCCCAGTAAACCCTGGGTCGACGAAGGAACTACTGCGGGTCATGTCATCGTCGCTCGTCGCCCGTCGCCGAACTGTTTCCATGATTCAAGCCGCGACGGCTGCGACCTAAAGCGGCAAAAACGATGGATACCGGCTGTGTCTGCAACACGGAGACTTCAACCATAAACAGTATCTGGCCATGATTTCCACGCCCGACCAAATGAAGCCTCATCCGGCTTCACTCATATCAAGCGAGAATCGGCACATAAGAAACAAGCTCTTGGTCTCAGACACAACTCGGCCATGTCCGTCGTCCCAGCGAGTTCTTTCTATGTCCTGTCCTCTTGCAGCCATTTCCAACGGCAGAATCCAATGGCCGAATGCTGCCACCTCGACCGACACAACTCCGGTAGCTGCTGCGCGTCCCCGTTATAGATTAGATAAGAAGTTTGAGCTTAAATATCTCGATTTAGTACCAACAAAAACTGAAGTATTATTAATTTAAACTTAAAATATTTTAGATTAATAACTCAATATCAAATTATCTCATTAAACTTAAAGCATCTCAATTTAGTCCTATATTATATCGAAAGTGAACAAAGCTTAACTCACGAAAACACTGAGCGATAGAATCTTATTGTAACTCTTCGCAATTTCTAATTAATAATCAATGTTGTTCTTCCTATTCTTCTTATAACTCGATTCATATTTTTCACATTATTATCTGGACACTAAATGCCACACATCATTTGATACCTACAGTCGTTCCTCATCGGAGGAACGAAGCTAAAGCATGATTTCAGGCAAAAAAGAAGCTTCTTATTCTTATTCTTATTCTGCAACAGCTTCCTCAGGCCAAAAAGAAGCAGCTTCATTATCGTTGGAAATAGTGTTCTTCCCCTCCCCCCCTACTCCCTACCACTTGCACAGCATGACAACCCTCTTCGACCACTGGAGATAATGTAGGTCTCATCTCCAACAACAGTGCACCCAAAGGGAGAAAAAAGGGGAAGAAAGCTGAAGCCTACCGCAAGGGGCGAAAGGACAATGGATAAGCATCTAAAAGTCATTCCATCCATCGTACATTATCGTCAGCCGCCGTCAGTTTCTCCGCTATCACATTATCTATGCCGAGAAAGTACCATTAAGTGGAGTAGCCTTTCTTCTTCCTTCTCCTTATCGTGTGAGAGGAAGATCGAAAGAGAACTAGTCTCCGTATCGTGTATTAAATGAAGAATTATAAGTAAAACTTTCTTGGGATGATGTGAGAAGAGAGCTAAGAGAGGATGGATTATTAGTGTTTCTTCACGCGCATGTAAAACTTCATATATCGATCCTAACTGTAGCACATAATTATTCTTTGGCTTCAATATTAAAAATATAATGATAACCATAATAAATAGGAGTATTTTCTTTCTTTCTTTTTAGCTTACACAGAGAAGACTCCATATCATGTGAAGATGAAGGCTGAGAGAGGAGTAGCCTTTCTTCACGAATAAAGACCGGGAGAGGATTAGCAGCTTCTCTTCCTACATAAGAAAGTAAAACTTTGTATATGTGAGACAAAGATGGAGAGAGAGAGAGGAGTGATAATAATTCCATATCTATTGGAGTACTCGTTAAAGATTAATGAAATTTACGACTTACTCTTTCCGAAACAGTACATGAAACCTTACTCGAGAAATAAGTTGACACGACACTCGAAGGACATGATTGTCGAGAAGAAATGGTGTAGGTTTGCAGGTCCCAACCCGTCCTCGAGCATCTTCTTCTGCCTATGATTTTGAATGATGTCGTTTCAGCTACAGCTTAGAATGAGATCAAATGTTGGTGGTAGAAGTAGCATGCTAGTAGTCAGTAGTGAAGGTAGTGTTCATGGACATCCCTGTGTCTTGAATGACTCGAACAGAACTTTTGCAGGACACTATCATGTCATCTACTACTACTACTACTACTACTACTACTACTACTCATCTGAATGTTTGCCGTATGCCACACTGCATTATGATCCTCTGATGCAACAATATAATAGCATTATCTACATCCCAATATCAACAGGTGGAGCACTTTTTGTTTTTTGTTTTTACTTTTTATTTCAAATAATAAGTGATTTTTTTCTTCTTTTTTAAGCTAGATTCGATCCTAAACCTCGCTATCGATCTTTATTAGATAAGTTAAACACATTTTAGAACTTGAGCTCGGTAAGCAAACACATTTGGTGGAGGAAGAAAGTTGGTTGCGTCTTAAGAAGAATCATTGATTTTATGAGTTTAATATAGTTAAACGCATGTTAATGACAATAGGCTCACTCTGGCCTTGTAAATTAGTTCGATCGACTTGTCAGATCACATATGCTTTTGTTGGGATCAAATGCTGGGAGAGGAGGCAAAGGTGTTTGAACCATTATCATTAAGCGCACCAACACAACACTACCAGAGTGAATTTGCAGGGAGTGTGCCATCGAGAAACAGCAAAAAGAAGAGCTCACTCGTTAGTGGGACACTGCCGAGCCGAGTGCTGACACTGCAACCGACGTTTGGATGTACCATTGAGAGGCAGGCATTGCCACTTCAATGCTTTCCAATGAGAGGAACACACGCGAACGCAGAGAGAGAGAGAGAGAGACTGCAAGCTCTCTGCCTCGAGAAGGGCCGCGACGCCATCGACACCGTAACCACAACCGCATTATATTATATTATTGGCTTCCCACCCTAATTAATCATCGGTGTTTGTGATTAACGAAAATAAAATCAAAAAATATTATTAGAATTTTTTTTAATAAATTAAATTTTTTATGAAGAAGTTTTTTTATAATACTTGAAAATATTATTTATTGATGATTCCATAAACTTAAATAGGATGATTTTTTAGTAATATGAAATAAAAAAATTTTAAAAATCACAAGCGATCAATCTTAGGTTCTTTGAAAATAATTTTCTTTTTCTTGTTCTATATTAATTCCCTTTACGAGAAAAACTCATTCTCGAATTTATGTCCACGTATAATGGATTCTTATTTGGAAAGTAACCATATAAGTTTGTAACATTGAAGGTGTTTGAGATTCCTCAATTATCTTGTAAAGCAATCACATATGTATGATTATGATTTTCTTTAAACCTTTAAGGACCATACTTCTTCGATTTCAATTTATTATAAATATGTATAGAAAATATCTCTTTTCACAAGTACATTATAATCATATCTCATTCCTTAAACACCGTATCTCTCTTGTGATTATCAACTGCATCTTTTTATATGGCATTAGTAGTTTTCAACTTTTTATTCACTTTAGCTTGGGTTGATTATACATACTCAGCCATATTATTAGCTGCTACACTCATTCTAGGAGCTTTTGGTAGGTAAACTAAACTCAAAGCATGTTTTGACACTTTGTTGTAAACAACAGAGGATGGTGACACTTCAATATAATTATAAATTATGCTATTATAAGAAATCACTTTTGATTTGTTTTACTTAGTTTTTCATTAAAAAAATATAATTAGTCTTCCTTATTGTGGAAGCACTACTCTAATCTCAATTTCACTTACATTATATTCTACTTCAAATAGCTTTTTAAAGTTTGGTGATGTAATGGTGTAGTAGTCAACTTTTGGTTAATTTTAATAAAGCTTTTCTCAGTAGCCTCAATTCATAGAAACTTTTCTTTATTCAAATAGTTAGTGGTAAGAGCGATAATACGACTAAAGTTTCCAATGAGTCTTATGTAGAAAGTCATAAAATCATTAAAGCTCCACACTTTTATGATAGTCTTTTAGATAGGTCATTCTCGAACAGTATGAATCTTTTCTTCGTTTACATGAATCCCATCAGCACTCATAATAAACCTCAAGAAGATCAATCGATTTGTTAGGAAGTCACACTTCTTCAAATTAGCATATAACTTGTAATCTTATAAAATAGCCAAGACTTGTCATAAATGATCTATATGTTCTTCTCTACTATAATTGTATATTAGAAGAACATGATTCATATATCTCATGAATATACTTGATACATTAGATAACTCAAATGACATAACTAACTATTCGTATAAGCCTTCAGTTGTCTTGAATATAGTTTTTCATTCGTCTCTGAGCCTTATGAGAATTTGATGATATCCGCTATGGAGATTTGAGAATATCTTGGAGCCTTATAGTTGATTCAATATATCTTCTAGTCGTGGTATAGGAAACCGATATCTAATATAATTTTGTTGATAGTTCTGTTATCTACGCATATCTTTTAACTTTCATCCTTTTTAGGTGTTAATAAATTCGAGACTACACATGGGCTCATACTTTCTCAAATATGTCACTTCCACATCAACTCTTCTATCTTCTCCTCAGTAGCTTATTATCTTTTTGATTTATTCGGTAATGAGATAAATTTGGTAGATTTGCTCTTAGAGCTAAATCAATTTGGTGTTGAATATCTCTCATAGGTACAAGTCCATCCGGTAATTCTTCAAGGGTGATCTCTTTGATTTCTTTTAGTATCGATTATAGTTCATTTGAAATTTTTGCTTTAGGTGGCTTTTCTCCCTTCGTAATAAGCATAGCATGCTCTTGTTTCTTTATAGATGATAATGAATTTCTACTCATAATTAAAAATGGATAAGAAAGACTTTTTTAAGTAAGTATTGGATTCATCTTATTTTCTGTTAGTTGGTAGAATGACATTCTACTTCCTATTCCACTAGAATACATAGATATTCTTTCTTCCAATTTGAGTTATATTCATATCATACTATCATTGCATTTCAAGTAGCACATGACATATATCCATGTCAGCTACCTCGTATATAACTTTCTCCTTATAGTTTTTCTCAATTGAGAGGGGAACTCTATAGATCTTATTTACGATAATAGTTGGGTCTTCTTTAATCCACCATAGCTTATATGACATTGAATGAGCATCCGTTTACAATTTTAAGTACCTCATCGGTGATTTGGATATAATGTTGTCACAGCTTCCATTGTCTATGATCAATGTATAGACTTTGTTATTAACACTATATCGAGAATGAAAGATTTTCTTATATTGAGATGGATCTTTTTGCCTTAGGATGAGTAATAATAATAATTTTTTTATAATATATACGATGTGTTCTTCTTCTTCCTCTATTATTTCAGCATTATCAATAGTATCAATTGCATCATCTTGGGCATCTTTTTATTTTTCAAAGTCATCTTTGTGATATGCAAAGTTGATAGTCTTACAAGCATGACACTTGTTAGAATGATGATCGAGCTCCCTATCTTTGAAACATTTTTCAACCAAGGGTTAAGCATATAGATTGTTTGTGGTAGTGGGGACATGCTTAGCTTATTTTGTTGCTCCTTCGATATTTGTATCTATGTTGATCTTCTAAGTATGATAAGTTACATATGGCTGAAAGGTTTAGGAACTCATTAGTATACTTATTTACCAATCGAGTTCCTTGGGTGTAGTTTTAGTATTATTGAAAGAATAATTATTCATAGTTTCGGGGTAGGTATCTTCCTTTGAAAGGTTTCTTTATCTTTCGTTATGTTTATATTGATGTCTTTTCTTATCTTATTTTGTTATTATGTAATGTATTCTACCAAATTGTTGCATCTCTTTTTAACTTGTATATTACAAGCTTGATTTGTTTGTGATCAGGAATATCCATGATATCGAAAAAATTTTCTACTTTATAATTCTAGTCAAGAAATGCTTCAACGATAAGGTGGCCATTAAAACTGAAGATGTCTACTTTTAAGATGGTAATCCTCAAATAGCCTATTTCATTGAGATGATGCTTGATATCTTTCATATCTTTTACTATCATCTTTTGAGTCATTATTATATATTATTGATTATTGTGGACAAATAGTACTATATCAAGTGTCGAGGTTGAGTTGCATTTGCACATCTTTTTTGATGAGTTCTATGATAGTCTACAATTCTTTCTTTTTCATTTGATTCATCTTCATAGGCTGGTTGCCTGTGTTGGATTGCAAGTTCGTGGTGATGATTGCAAGTTCGTGGTGATGACTAGACTGGCTATTAGCATCAACTCTGATACGATTGATCTTACCATCATCACAAACTCTATTAGTGCTTTAATGAAAGCTGCATGTCATGAATCTCTCATAGTTCTTGGATCATTCTCACTTCTTATGCTTCTAACATCATTATTATCACAAATAAAACTCATCTTGATGGGTCATAGAGTTATACTTAGCAAATTAATTTTTTTTATACACAAGTTTCATTATAAGTGATGTGTAAAACATACTTCTTAATTTTCTAACCATATTATATATATATATATATATATATATATATAAGGTACAATGATTTTGATAAGTTAAGAAAAACGTATATTAAAGCCTGATAGAAACAAATCCATTGTGTTATAATAGTGGCTGTTATCTTACTTTTATATTTTATACAAAAACTACGTTTATCTGAAATCAATGATTTCACAACACAGCTGAATCTGATTTGAATGTTTGACTAGCACATTCAAGTTAGTATCATGCATAATAGAGGTCAGTTCTCACTGTCTCCTTGCCCATCAACATGTTCAACCTCCCTGGGACCCTCTGTTCCATTGACGTTGTTCTCCTCATCTTCATCCTCCATTTGATTTTGTCCTCTTTGGCCCATTTCATCTTCTCCATTGTGGTAAACTTGAGAACTCACTACCTGACCGTAAAGATCCTTGTGTTTCAGATTTCCTGCAACAATTAAAATGGTCAAACAAGCATCTAAAGTAACCAGTAAACTGTCTATTATGAAAAATTAGCAGCTCAGCATAGAAATCCAATGTGCGCACTTGCAGTAACATAGAGCTGAAATTTATGGGATGTATACATATTAACTCACCCATCCAGAACGTGCAGTCACTTGGTGTGCTGTGGAGAAGAGCCTTGACGTGGAACAAGAAGCGCTCCATGGACCTCTTGGTCGCAGGAACCTTGCTTGTGACCATCGTTCTTTTCAAACCCTTAACAAAACAGAAGACAATTTGAGTCGATATGAAGAGGAATCAATTGGTTGAAGGTGAGCAAATCCGCAAATGCCATTACCTTTGCCTCTGAACAGAGGGTTTGTATTGTTCTCGTTGCCTTCTGAAGCTCTTTGACCTGTGAGAAGTTGTTTACATAATAGAGGAGCTGCATATGAAGCTAAATGAGGCAGTGTCAGCCAAAAGAAATAGGACTTACTGTTTGGATTATAATGTCATTGTGCACCTGGAACTGGTCCTCTAGGAAGTCGAAAACTGGAAACACATTCAGCATTCAGCATTTAGCATTTTTGTTAGGATCATCTGCAGAATAACTTGCAGAACTTAGAGCACCTACCTTTGAGGAAGCGATCCACATATTTGCCACCGTACTTGACAGCCATAGCATGGACAGCTACCTGATGTGCAGTTTATTTTTGCACAAGTCATGATTGCGAAGCAAAATGAGCTAACTATGCAAGATGACATAATGCTCTTAAAGGTAGAATTTTGGAGCTTTCACCACCTTATCATGAACCTTGCACAAATTAACTAGTGATACCACCACATTCACTGTCTGGCGGAGCCTTATTAAGACCTTTTCTGCAGCTTCTCCCTGCATATCTTTCCTGGACTTACCCATAACATCTTTGACCTAATGGAAAACATTGATAAGATCTTAACATGGAGATCTAAACTAAATATTGTCATATGAGACATACACTAACCGTCTTGTTTAGAATAACTAGATTCTCCTCGTGCTGCATTGGATGAAAAGCTTAAAAATGTCATAAATGGTGGAATTAGAAGTTCAAATGCCATTTTTCAAGGGTAAACAAGAAATACTTACCAGTACACGGTACCAGGTAAGGAACATTGTTGGAGATAAAGTTGGAAACCCATGAATAGCCTCTTGTGTATTCATACTTCTGCATGAAGGGACCTAAAACATAAAGCACATTCATTCAAGGCAAAGCTTGACCACATTTGAAGTCAATAAAAAGATTGTAAGGTGTACTAGTAGAGAAGAATTTTTGACGAATACCCATTACATATAAAAACAAAATTCTTTGTACATGGTGAAATTCTTGAGAATAGATGGTATATAATGCATCTAAGGCAAAATCAGGCCTATCATATATTAAGTCCAAGTCCAATTTTATACACCTGAGGTAGCACTGTGCAAGCTAGCTCATCAAGCAGATCAGAAGTGGATTCACTATATTTGAGGTATATTTGCAGTATCTTCTGTATCATGTCACCCTGAAGGCAAAGTAAGCAGGTGAGAAACAAGAACAATTATTGTCACCTTAATAGAAATCAAGAAGCAAATCAAACTACCATACTGCTAACCTTATTCTTCTGTCCTTTTTCAGTGTCCTCTCTACCTGGATCATGCACTAAAAGCTTCTGTGCAGACAAAGCAAGCCTCCTGCTTAGAACAGTAAGGATTCCCTGACAACATCCCACATCTGTTGTCTTCCCATTTCCTTCCAGAGACTTGTCAATCACAACAGCAATTGAGCTCACAACTGACTCGAGGGTAGCTAGTACTTCTGATGCTAGAGTGAAGGAGAATGAGCATGCTGCACAACAAAAGCCTTATATCAAGCTGTAATCCAGAAGCCTACATACTGAAGTGCAGAAGCCTGGCAAATGAATTACTACCAACATCAATGATGCCCTCGAAATATAAGTATGCACCACTGTACAAGTAACTTATGCTCCCAGGGGTTGGCAATGGCTGGACTCCTGAAAAGAATTCATCAAATTTCTCAATTGGCTGAAATGCTGCTAGCAAGTCCCTCAAGATTGGCATGTTTGAGTCAAGGAACAAGTCTGGAAGTCTAAGCAACTGCACCAAAGACTGATGATGTTATTCTACGTGTGGGATAATACATAATGCAACACCCAAGATAGTACCTTGTTATAGCAGGAAAGGACTTCTCCAAACACAGAACTAGCAACTGAAGATTTTAAAACTACTACATATGGTATATCTGGATTTCCAGCGGAAGAAGAACAAGATTGCCAGTGATCTTGGCAAGATTCCGTTCCTATAATCTTGTGAGTCAGAAGGATTACATAGAACCTACTTAAAAGCAATTATCTACAACTTCATAACTGATGATGTCATCTTACCATCTTTAATAAAGGAAATTGCAGAATCTAGATGTTTCTTTAGGCTGGTAAACAATTGTCTAACCCTGTTCAAAAGCTCACTTGCTGTCATTCTGCAGTAACCAGCAAGTGCATTCACCGAGCTATGACTTATAATATGATTGCTTGGAGGATTCAGGTAATCCAGTTTGTTGTGAAAATCCCTGAGAAGGTAGAGATGCAGTGGCAGCTAAACAAAAAAGGAAACACTAATTCAGATAACATTACAGAAAAACAATAACAAGGATACAAACCAAAAATAGCTCTTGAGTTGGCTATGTTACCTCGGCTGAAGGATCTGAACAGCAGGAATCTCGACTCTGTGATTAAAAAATAATAATCAATTCTAATACTGGTCAAGCTAAATAGCATACTGTTTACATCAAGAATTATTGAATCTGTACCATAGGCCATTGAACAAGGTGATTTCTTTAATTTTAATATCATGGTTTATTGAATTTGTATTATAGATCATGGAACAAGACAATTTCATTGATTTCCAAAACTAAACAACAATTGTTTATTAAGAAAATCTCTCTAAACATAATTGATCTATAGAAAGACTTAACTAAGATGGGAATTTCCTAGGTTCATAAGTTGAGAAGCACAGTCATGTATTATATATGGAAGACCTATCCCATGTTAATGAGAATAACTTCAGTTTCAGGCTACAATTTTTCAGACAACTATAAGGCATGCTTTTGATTTGGCAGCAAAGGGCTGGTATAAGCCAACTTCCTTGAAATAACTAATTTTAAACACTTTGATCTATGAGGAAAGAGCATCAGTCATCTCTAATGAAGCTATATGGAAATATGAGAAAGAATAAACATCCCTCCTTATGTTGGTAGAGGTCCTGTCATATTGTCAGACAACCTGACACATTTACTAAAAAATCTGGGTTTTCCTACAAAGAAATCAAGCACCTTCCTTGGTAGATAACTTGTCATCTAGAAAGCTAGATTTTTCAGAAAGGTGTCAATACTAAATAAACCAAAGACCTTGCAAAGATCTGGGAAATGCCATGAATATCAGACTGCTAGACGGGCAACCTATTTAGTGCCCAGGCTATTATGGCTTGGGTACTGAACTTTAGACTATTGGGCTAGAAAGGAAAGGAACTCCTAATTGTGAATGTTATTTCCAAAATCTATGTCAATGCCACCCTAAGGTAACGGCTTTCTGTGTTCGGATTGTTATAGATAAAACAATTTATAGCATAATGCAGTATGACAGAAAATAATGCAAGATATGTTATTTTCTTATACTTAAGTACAGATAAACTAATATAAGCGTTTGTCTTTTGCAATATGTACTTCTCGCCAAAGTCCAATCTGATAAATTGAGGCATCTTACCGATAAAATCAGATCATAGATCCCTAATTGTCACATCATTTTACCTCAGAAAAGCTTAAAATAAATAGGCAGTCCACAAGAAGAGGTCTGAATTTGCATCTTTGTGATTCCAAGAGTATGGGCTTTTCGGATATATCAACAAGCCCAAGTTCATTAGAGCCCACAGCTTCATGTTCACAAGATGTTGAATCTGAAGAACTTCCTATTGAAACTCCCTGACTTACAACTGCGCCTGCTCTTTTTAATACATCCATGATAGTAGGCTGCCTGAGTTTCCCATTAGCATCAGCTTTTTCTGTAACCATTGAGTCTTTTTTCTGTTTATGCTTCTTGTTATGTGAAGTACTTGAAGCACCGCATTTTCCCCTTAAAATTGAATTATCATACTTGTTAAGAGAGGATCCAGAATGTCCCGCAGCATAATGGAGCTCAGGGAGAAATAAAGGATAAAACTTGAGGTAAGAATTCAGTAATCCCTCCAATAAACTGCATGAAGGATACCTCTTCAGTCAGATTTCAAAGTGCACCAGGGAGCACAAGAGTAATTTAAGAAAAAAGATGATGAAGCTTCCAGAGAATTAAAAACATATCACCTTTCAGGTCAGACAAAGTCTTACAAATTTATACCAGGCCCTAATCATAAGTTCCATAATAGAGATATATTGCCACTAGAAACAATTTTATAGTTCCATTAGCCTTTTGAGACTTCCAAGTGTTAATTTTGACTACATGGCAGAGAAAGTAATTTATAATGTATAATCACATCTTTTTGCACTAATCAGCTTCACACAGACTTATTGGTTTCAGCATAAAAGTACATGTGTATTTTGTATAGTACCATCCATTTAGTTGTCAAGAGCTCGAGTAGATAGCAGTGAAGACTAAGCACATGACATCATAGAAAAAAAAACTACAATCAAGATATAAATTATATAAAATGTGATGATCAAGATATGCAAATATTAACTTTTCCATAAGATGCATATAAGTAGCATTTATGTCATCTACAACAATATTCTATCATCTTCAGCAAGCTTGGTAACAATAACCTTGCAACCATGGCAGCATTCTTCAGCTGTGTTGTATATGCCTGCAGTGAAAGGGGCACACAGGATGCTAATGAAGGGCATGATGTTCATCAGGCAAGGTTGGCGAAGGGTGCTAGCCAACAAGACTAAGTTTCCAATGTCTTTTTAAGTATATTTGGTGTTATTACTGCCAACTAGGCATCTTAAATTCTCTTGTTTTTTTGTTTTCCTTTCATAATGTCTAATGTTTATCCTGCCTCTTTTTTCACTTTGGGCATGTTTCTTTTGGCTTTACTGGTTGTCTCTAGATGGTTGGACAAAAATTTTACTGTGCCCAAATTATCATTATATTTTTCCAATAAAAATTGGTTTTCCATAGTTGTCCATTCTTTCTAGCTCCCTCACCAATCATCCTGGTATTGGACAAAAAATCTCTCTCCTACAATGGAGATTCTTAATGGAATATCAGAGGTTGGACCATTTAACAAAAAGGCCTTCGATTAGAACTTTGCTAAATGAAAGACAAATGATTGTCATTCTTCAAGAGACGAAGCTCCATAATTTAGAGAACATTATTAATCTTTTTATGGTACATATGACTGATTCAAAAAGATACTAAGACTCCAGGAATTTGCTCATTGCTTAGAATAACCTTCTAATTTCATGTAGACTCCCTTACCAAGAAGTTTTTCATTTCATTTTAAGATTCTAGATCCCAACGTCTTCTTGGACGAGATATCCACAAGGGATTATGGCCCCAACTCCTCACAGCTGAGGTAGCTTTTCTGGGCTAATTTGGAATCTAGAGCCAACTACTCCAATCTTCCATGGAAGATAGGTGATGACTTTAGTATAATTAGGTGGTCATTTGAAAAAAGCTCTCAACTCATTAGCCCTGAGGTGCATCGGTTTCTGTTTCAGCACAAACTGCCACCTATTAACCCTGCACCTCTCAAAATACACATTTACATGGTCTAATATTAGGGCTTCTATCATTACTTCACTAATCATTTTTTTATTTCATCTGCATGGGATTCTATTTTTCCCATATTCATTCTACAAAGTTTGGCCCAACCCTTGTTCAGACCATATCTCTATCCTATTGTACTCTAATTTCCCAAGACAGGTAGGTTTTATCTCGAGTAGTTCTGGCTGAATTATTTCTTAACCAAGGCCCTGGTCCAAGATAACTTAACTAGGCCACTCCATAGCCAACAAATGTTGCACCTTCACTATGAAGTTAAAAGAAGATATCATATGTTGAGTCAAGACAAATGTGCAGCCTCACTTCATCTCTCAAGGAGATCAGAGAAACAATCCAATCAGCTGATAGAAAAGAAGAACTTATGCTGATATTCAATGACAATAAGAGATCTAAATAGACTAAATAAGAAATTTGAGAAGCTTGAAGAAAAGGAAAAAGTTTATTGGAGATATAGTTCAGATTAACATAGTTCAAAGTGAGGGACAAAAATTCCTAATATTTCCCAGCAAAGTATTTGAAAAAGGAGTCTCATGTCCATCTCCCATGATGGGTTTCTTGCCATGAACCTAAATCAAATTCATGGGATCTTCTCAAATTTCTACAAAGACATACCAATTCTCAAGCTACTCTATAAAACTAAATCGGAATAATATGTCCTCAATGATCATCATCCTATCCATGATCAACTCCACCTTCATTGAGATTAAGATAAAGGAGGCAATTTTTGGCTTGGGCCGAGATAAAAACCTCAGTCCAATTGTCTTTTCTATGGCTTTTTAATGGACTTCTTGCCACCTAATAGTCATTTTTAATGAATAACTTCGAGGGATCGACTCCATTATAATGTTCAACCATGTTCAAACATAATCCCTAGGGCTAGTAAACAACATTAATTTCATGAATTGCTATCAAAAGTTTCACCAAAGTTCTAGCAAATAGGCTAGTTGTCTATCTCACTTTCATGATTATGCTCCCAATCTGCTTCTAAAACTAACTGATGACTTCATTACAATCCATGAGGCTATCAGTGTGCCAAAAACAGAGCAGAATGCAAATTCTTATTATTGGAACAATTCTAATTTGGATCAAATTTCAACAGGGGGATTGTCCCGCTTCTCCTCGTCCTTGTTAAAGATATAATAATGTATGGACCTTGAGCGAGGAAGCTTGATTAGTAAATAGATCAAGCAATGCTCCACTTCCCAATATCACCTCACTACATATTGTAGATAATACACAAATCTTTACCTCTGATAAGATATGCTTGACTAGGCCTAAACTCACTCTATATTGTTTAGTCTCGCTATCAGATATTGCAAAAGTACAACTATCTACTGAGTTCTCACCCAATCCTGGAAAATGTTTACAAACTCCTTCGATTGCTCTCTAGGAAAATCCCCTTGGTTTTTGGGCCTTCTACTCAAGCCGCTAATCTCACGAGTGGATTGGGCTTCCTTTACCACAAATCTGACTAGATAAATAGAAGAGCAATTTCTTCTCTTTTGCTGGTTATCTAGATACCCTTCTAAGCACCTTCCTCTATCCTTGGGGATGGAATGATTATCCAATACTGCAAAGACAATTAGATTGACCTTCACTTAACCAAACACATTTTCCCTATCTTTTAAACTACATCTCTAGTACCAATCTCTCCATTAATAAGGCCTTCTGGATGGGTTCTTATTTGACCATAAAAGATACCTCAATTGTGTCGTCTAGTCATTGAACCCATTCAGCTTCCTTCCTTTCTGTTGCTCACCGATATGGATTAGAGTAACTCTAGTTTCTACAACTAGAAATTCCATTTCCTGGAGTTCGTCAAACAACCAATTCTAGTGCCTCCTGGAAAAATTTCAAGCTTCCAAGGAATTATCTGTCTTACTCACAAGCCTACCCAAAGAGCCACATGTATTCCTAAAAAAAAATGCTTCATGCAAGTTGCTCTCAAGAAAAGGGTTCCACTCGAAAAATCCTGTTCAAGAAAGAAATTGAATGTGAATGCATCTTGTCCTCCTGTACTACTTCATCACCCTTTACCAACCCCTTGCTTTCTCTAGTAGATACTAGGACTCCTGGTAACTAAAATATCTTCAATTCAAATGGAGATCTTGTGGGGAAGGCTATTCCCACTCTTGTATTGGTGCATTTGGTAGAGAGATATTGAAATGTTGCAAACTCTTCAAAGGCTTTCTCAGAGAGACGACTAATCTTGTCAAGAGTGCTCTCCTAATTTTCAAGCTTTAAAGATATAGTCTCGAAATCTACATTATAGGATTTTGAAAAGCATAAAAAATGTCGAGTGCAATGTATCTTGCAGATCTTCCAAGCTTTTCTGGTTCTACCTGCTCCTTTTAGTTTTCATTTTTTATTTTTATTTTGTTTTTTTAATCCATATGTACTTATTTCATTTGATTGACGAAATGGAGCTGAAACCTTTGCTGCATTGCCTCAGAAACACACCCATTATAAAGAAAACATGGTAGTAAGTATGGAAACAATTTAGGAATCTACAAGAAACAATAGAGCAACTGCAATTTATATTAGAATCACTGACCAAATAAAGAGACTTATTACGAAAACAGATGTCGTCTGAAAGTAAGATTCAGAGATCATGAAATGCTCTATGACTAGGAGAATCTTCACTATTTTGATACTTACACCAAGTTTCTCAAGCGCTTCATGATTTTTGCCACTGCACCTTGCCTTGTGGCCTGAGTAATTGAATCAAATCTGCCAGTGATTTGTGTGCTAAAGGCATTAAGCTGTAAGTAACATCAGTAAGCATCCAATTATAGTTAAATATATACTAAATGTGGCACCATCAAGACCAAGCATACCAACTCTCGTATCCAATTGATGGCATAGTAGATTGAGGAACATAATATCCTTTTCTGCTTCTCTGTGAGTTTCCGCCCATAAGCTCCAACCAAGTACTGACATTGAACAAGATAAGTATATGAATTATTTATCTTTTTTTTGTCAATCTAAACTAGATGATATCATCATTATTTTTCCTTATCAAGATAGGGAAAACTGGGAAAGTATCATGCACCAATTGAAAATAGAGATTAGTAAGAGTTACAAAGATGTCTAGCTATCAATGTGGATAATGATTGAATTGGTTTATATGGGCTTGAAGTGTGTACTACTATTAACTTAGGCTTAAACATCTTGGTTCAATGATTCAAGCTCAAAAAGTTAACAGATTAATTAACATATCGGTCATGTCATGACCTATGGTATCGTAATCAACCTACTCGAGTAGGAAAGGACTACTCATGGATAGGGTCAAACCTCACATGGACCACAGTAGGGCTTAATTATAGACTATGTCGGTTCTTGATGAGGACGTCAAAACCAAATATTGTAATATCAATTACATCAAAAGGTTACCTTCATTTGAGTCAATAACATCAAAAGGCTCTTTCCAAAAAAGCAATCTAACATCAATTACATCCTAAAATCAAAAGGTTGTTCAGGCCACTTGATAAATCTAACACTAAGACATCCTACGTAAAGAGGTGTTAAACAATTATTTTTATTCAAAAATTTGGACCTTTAGATATCTCACCTTAGAAGAAGGAAGATGCAAAGGACAACCAAGAAGTGCATCAATTCCACCAAGAGATCCCTGATTTGTCGCCCTCTCAATCTTTAACAGGACAAAAAATTGGGTAAAAAAGTGAGACAATGTCCAAAAAATCCAAACTGAGATCAGAGTCATCCTTGCTTACAGCAGATAGTAACGAAAATTGAGAAGGAAGAAATTGTAAAGAGGAAGAACACCTGAAACCAACAAAAATCTTTGTTAGAAAAGCACTTCCCTTAACCATGAGATTTGTGTGAACTTAGACTAGCCATGAAAGAAACTAGGCTAAGAAGGCATTACTGTTCAAACTGTTCCAAGGAGGAGGAAACTAGTGGCAAAATATTAAGGCATACAGGAGATACATCACCATCTAGATTCATCCACAATTCTCCTGAAACCAATAATATCACTAAGTATATTGCGATGAAATTGGCTTTAACCTAGTATGATATAGCTTTCAGCCTATCAATTGCATAGTTCTGATGACTAACCTTCTATGCCATTAGACATGTATTTAACTGGGAACTGCCCACCCTCAAGATCAGAGAGAAAAAGCAATTCAAACTCTCCAACATGCCTGCAGATCCTGTAAGGGTAGTTGATTGATACAATTCAATTCTTCTGAAATAACATATAGAACTAATAGAGGTAAAATTACGCTACATGTTAACTGTCACTTTTAAGTGAATTTCAAAAATACCCACCACTCAGTTATTGCTGGCTGCAAGGTATTGCGCTCCAATAGAATTGCCAGTTCATCATATAGAAGGATCAAAGGCAAAGTCACCAATTTGCACGAGTCGATAGACATTTTGAGAAGTTCCAAAGCCTCTTCGACATTTGATTTCTGCATATAAAACATGCAACAGAAATATTAATGTAATGCAACTTTTTAGATTACTCAACAAATAGCCCCTTTATAAGCATGCATATACCAATGAAGATCTGACAAGGTTAGAAGGTAATGATTCTTTTGCTGCTTAAAAAAAAGGTTAAACATCATAGAAATTGGCATTTAAATATTAGAAAAACTAATAGTCAAAAAAAGGGTGGCCCAATTCATGAGACTGCCGATGTGAAGTTTGAGGAAGATCAATATAAATGTCAAATTGAATGCACATGCATTGCAAATAAGATGCATTTCGGTTCTCTAGTATTAGCTCTTTCCAACAAAATAAGGGTACTCTTGTCATCTTCAATCAACAAGTTATCAAACTTATTATTTCCTGCAACAGAAGCCAATTGCAGAACATTTGAAGCTATTAAAAACTTAAAAGGTAATAAAGCAGACATTGAATGTGATAGAGGATTTTGGCTTAATATTGCAGACTAAAATAACAGAATATGATTGGATGTTGTTCCTTGTGTGTTTGAAACCTAAATTGTTGGACAAAAGTTTACACCCAAAAAAATCATGAAATTCAATTCAATGGGCATTTTAAAAAAAATCATGAAATTCAATTCAATTCAATGGCATTTTCAAAATAAAGTAGGCATTTTCAAAATACCTGAGCAAGTCTACAGACACATGCATATTCAGTGGAAAAAAAAAAACTAAGGCATCATGTTTCTAAAGTTCTGCATCTCCAATAAAGAATGTAGCCAGTATAAGTGCATAAATACCCATCTCACAAGTCTGTTAAAGTGGCTTCAAAATGCTGAATTGCAAGGATGTGGTACAAGCTTTTTTGTTCTGATCATACCATTCCAGCCTGAAGTCAAAGTGGTATGAGGTATAACAACATATATCGAAGAAGTCTCCCTTTATTTTTCCAAATGGTATACCTAGGATTCAATGTCATACCATCATATTGTGTCAATCAATCGGTTAGCCAGTAATTAGTATGTGATAGTATCTAAATTCTTGTCGGTAGAATATCAATAACAGAATTACAAATCATTAGAACTTTGTGCTACAAAAAATATAAAAGTTAGGATCTCTAGGTCAACCTACAATAGGACAAGCTAGTGTATTTCCTTATCTAATAATATAATAGACCTGTTTAGATGTGAAAGTTGTAGTAGCATTGGCACCACCAAGTGTGGAAACTATCTTTAATGTTCCAATGATTCCCATTTTCCTGTACCTCATATCTGGATTGCTGACCTGCATTAAACTCAAAGGTAAAGTGACAAATTCCTTCAACTGTTCCAACTTTAAGAGGAAAAAGAAATTTGCAACTGAAGAAACTCAAGAACTTCTGACCTGTGTAATCAATTAACTTACCTGCTTTCTAACAATAATTAAAAGTTCATTTGTAATGGAAGAACCAGCTGAATTGGCACTTGAGCAAGCAGATAATGCCAACTGACAGAAAACCTCATATACCTATAATGTTCAGAGCAAAAAGACAATTGTTGATGAGGCAACAAACAGCTACAAAAAGACAACAAATAAACAATTTTATAACCTTGTGGAGATTATGTTCATGAAACCCATCTAGATAGTCCAATATACCTGGGGAAAGAAAGCGCATCTAAGTGGAGAAATAGGATGTGTGTTTAACTAGCAGTAAAAAGGGGGTATTGAAATGAGGTTCTGCAGTTATACCAATTATATGTGAAGAAATTGGGATCAGCTCCTGAGGGTACTTTGATGTGAACAACATCATGGTCTCCAAGGCAGAACTTACTTCATGACCAACACCAGAACCTATGTGTGTGACTAATGCACCAAGAACCTAGCTAACAGATATCAAAAGTTCAGAAATCCATATATATACATATATATATACATCATATATGTATGCATATACATACATATATATACATACGTGTATACATACATACATACATATATACATACATACATACATACATACATACATATATAGCTAAGAAAAAAAAATTATCATCTGGTTGCATCATTGAGAATTTTTGACAAATAAAGTAGTTCCTTTCCCCTAATCATTTAATAGTAAAATGTAAGTCTGCTTCCATTACGTTATGGAGATCTAGGTAATTCTTCACCGAATCAGGGAAGTCTGTGTAGATGAATATGCTTACTTCTTGCCTTGAATAGGTATCATTGAACTCTTCAAACAATGATGCATACAAGTGGATGCCGAACATGTTAGCTCGTTGGTCTTTGCATGACAGTAAGTATGCACCGACAGAAAGAAATGAAGGGAAATAATCCTGAGTTCCCAAAATAGACAAAAATAACTTTGTGTTAAGCACTCCAAACATACACATTTTGCTACATACAAATCAAAGCAACTGGGTATCACAAAATTTTCACCAGACAGAAATAACCTTAACAAGTTCCCGGTGCCCCTGAATACACTGGTCAAAAAGAACTTCACGAAAGCAACCTTCCAAGATCTTCTTTTTCAGAATTCTCTCTACACTCTTTTGCAAGAAACCTCCATTTTTGTGAACAAGCATGAGGAACCAAACATCAATGACCTTATGTTCACAAGGCTTGTCTATAGATTTTAACTCGTTTAAAACAGCCTCTGAGAGTATCTGTGGATAAAGCAAGCGGTAGAGTTTCAGCTGTTTGAGAAGTCAAGGCAAAAAAGATAATATGATATATTATACGTACATTCTTGAAGAGGAGACTCAATCTTAAAGCATCAAGGATTGATGCCTCAGTGCTATCAATGGGTGATTTGCCTTTAAGCTTCTTGTTTCTGGCTGCATGAGAGTTGATAGCCCCAACAAACTTTAACTGCTCACGGATTTGGGATATAATCCTCCTAACATTTGCTGGTGTAGCAGAAAGCAGCAGAAATCTAAGCAAATGTGGCACATGTTCTGCTTCAACTGTCCTAATGCAAGATAAGGCCGTATTGACCGCCTTCAAGAAACCAAGAGAACACAGCGGCATTAATAACCCCATCGTGCATTGCCAAGATACGCAACTGGACCGGAAAAAGTACGTCAATTGAACACACAAAGTGATCATGAGAGAATCAAACCTGCTCTTGCAAATGCTCATCTAAGTTCAAGTTCGAGAAGGAATCAAGCACGGGCACAATGACATCAGAATCCTCCTGCAGCAATCGGTCTAGACAAGCGACCACTGTGTCATTGCTCTGGTCACCGATCATCTCGGGTAGAGAGCCAACAATCTCCTTCTTCAGCTGGGGAGGCGATATGGAGAGGACCTCCATCAGCTTCTCAATAAACCCCTCAGCATCGACGAGGAAATCCAACCACCTAAACTGGTTGACAATAAGCCTCGCGACATCGTCCTTGAGCGGCAAACCGCCATTGCCGGAGCCATGGAAGTACTCAGGAAGCTTCTCGAGAAGCAGTTCCTGAATCCGAGGCTGGATCGGGGCGACCAAAAGGAGAATCCGAGCCAAGCTCTCCCCTTTCTCGGCAACGCCATCATGTGATGCCGGAATCAAAACCCTGCATGAAGGAAACAAACGAACTAACCAACCCAATGGTTCAACAGTAGAAGCAGCTGGGGTGATCATGACGAAAAAGGTGGAACCGCCGACCTCTTCAAGTTTTCGGTGGTTCGGATGTAGGCAGAGAATCCCGCAAGGAAACGGGAGCGGAGGGAGGGGTCGGCGGAGAGGCGGCCCTCGAGGCGGCGGCGGAACCTGTGGGGGTCGGCAGGGAGGGATGGGGGGCCACCGTGTAGGACGCTGAGGGTGCATCCGGCGTCGGCGAGCAGAGCGACCATGGTAGCGACGTGCACTTCATCGCTGCCGCCGCCGCCGTCGCCGTCGTCCTCTCGCCCACGCCCTCCGCTAGCTTCAGCGTGATCTTCAGTTCCAGTGGCAGCGGCGGCGGGAGCAGATCGGGGCTGGGGATCAGAGAGGGGAACGGGGCGCTTGCGAGGGTTGGGAGCGGTGCGCTGCAGGAAGACCATTTGCTTCGTTCGTTTGGGGGGCCGCAGTGGAAACGCCTTCTAAAATAAGCCGGACATGGTGCCATAAACAATCAAGAGCGGAGAGCGGGAAGCGGGTACGAATTTTACCGCCAAAATAATTATTAATCTAAGAAAGATATATATTTGATATCTTTTAAGATTATTAGTGTTATTTTGAGTTCAAATATTAGTATACTAACAACTAACTAGTGGATATTAACTACAACAGTAGATCTATAAATATATGAGTTTTGCACGAATACATTTAGATGCCAAACTCAAATTTAAAATGGTAAGTGTCAAAATCACTAATTTTGCATGGCTATATGTGTGAACTTTTACATTTCTTTTTATAGCCTTATATATATATATATATATATAGTTCTTATTGTTCATGATACTTAATTGTGTTAATATAATCACATAGGATAAAATATAAAGCACATTTAAATTTAAAAGATCTCTACCCTAATGTTAATAAGTATATAAATGATCATTGTTTCCCCATAATTCTGAGGAATCCAAGTCAAGTGTTCGATGAGGTGGTGACTATAGAGATTACAAAGAGAAGAAAATAAAATTAATCTTGGAACATGTTTATTAAGAATAAAATATAAAATAACTTTAATACGATAAATTAATTTTTGTAGTCACTTTCAGAGATAAGAATGTCTTAAATAAAACATAATCTAAGGAGTCTTGTACATTCATATCTTTTCAAAGTTTAGAAATAACACATTTGCTACTCCTAAAATTAAAAATACTATATATATTATTAAAAATGTTCAAATATTGTACATCTCACAAATATATAAAATATTTTATAATCATGTTATAAAGTCAGGTTAATGATGATTAACTGTGGTTACATTAAACATATGAATACATCACTTATTACTTTCACTAATAACTAAAATTAAAAAAATACAATTATTTAATTTATAATATAATATTTCTAAAGAGTATGGTATCAACATTATCTGGGGTTTCAACATCATTATAATCATGACCAACCAACAAAGATTAACTAAAAGTTTTTAGTTTTTGTGTGTGTGTGTATATATATATATATATATATATAACATAAATTAAAAGGGACAAATATGAAATTACAAATATTGGAGAGATATATAAGCAAATTTGTCTGATCTAAACAATAATTAATCCCGTGGATATCACCTACACCTACCATCTAAAAACGAGTCTTCACATCATCTGATGCATTTCCCTCCAATTTTTAGTGGATCGATTTCCTAATCCAATGGTTCTGATCGTCGGTTCCGGCCGTAGATGGCGGAACCCACTTCTTCGGACGGCTGGATTTAAATGAATTGGAGTAACTGACATGGAGAGGATTCCAAGCCGAATGCGATTCCTCGAACCAAGATTGAGACCCAATTGGGCTAACTGGGTCCGAGGCACGAACCCGGTCCAGCCCAAATCGTTTTTAAGTAAAATGGGATCGAGTCGATCTCGCTCCTCTCTCGCTCGCTCTCGCCTCCTCTGTGCCCTGCGTTCTCTTCCTCCTCTACCGAGACCCTTTCTCCCATCTCCGCCTTGATCTCCCCCAATTCCTATCGGCTTCGCCATGCGCTTCTCCGATTGAGGTCGATCGATGACTCATCACAAGCGGCCCTTCTCTATCAGCAGAAGCAGCGGCGGTGGAACCCCCAACAGCAACAGCGGTGCATCCGGCGGAGCCACCCATATCTCCCCAGAGTTATCCCCTGCCATGAAGAAGGCCAAGCCCCAGCTGGCTGCCACCTGCTCGTTGGAGAAGGAGAAGAACGGCCTCCACCCCCAACCCCACCACTCGAACACCACCGCGGCGGCGGCCGTGGCTGCGCAGTCCGGGGAGGAGGATGACGCGATGCTTGTTGACCAGGAGGAGCTGAAGCCTGGGGCTTCTGCCCCCGTCATGGTGACGGGTGTCGCTGCCAATTTGTCGAGGAAGAAGGCCACGCCGCCGCAGCCGTCGGTCAAGAAGCAGCTTGTCATCAAGTTGGTCAAAGGTACCGCTGTCGTGCAATTTTCCTCTGTTAAATTGCTTACCGGCTGGCGCGATATGCTTTTTTCTTGGTTTGCGTCCCTTGTGGTCATATCATTGTCAATAGTCTTTGGCACTGGTTCGTTGGATTCTTGATAATTCTATGCCGTTGATGGGTTCATTAATTGATAGATACCAATTTGTCATTGGAGTAATCACTGCTTCACCATTGTGACATGCAAAGAGGTAGGAGCAATGCAAGATTGCGTGGTTGATTTCTGAATTATAATCATTAGAGGATCATGCTGCTACCTTCATTACCCTCCGTCCCACTTTATTTCTTTAGGAGAGTAAAGGAAAAAGAAAATATCTCTACTGCCACTCCCTAATTTCAGGTTTTGGTTCACTAGAAACTTAAAAGTGACTCGAGACGAAATATACATTGCACACGTTGTGAGATTGCTTGTGAGCTTCTGTGATGATAGGTTTTATCAAGGGAGATATGGTTTATGAATTTTCATTAGATGTTATGAAATTTATCCTTGCTAAAACTTAGTTAATTTATTCTTTTTGAGAAAAATCTGCAGAATTAAGCTCTTCAGATATTCTTTTCGAGATGTAGCATCTTATCTAGGAATTGAACTATGATTAGCTACTTCCATAACATATACATTACAGAAAATCAATCAAAACTTTTTCCACATAGCATGTGATGAGGTGACACAGATATTGCTTTTTGAGTTATTAAGAACAGTGTTATATTTTGCTACTTGTCCAAGGAGCATGGGGCCATTCTTCCGGACCTTCAAGTTTTATGTTCTTACTGAAATTGTTTAGTTAGTTGGACCTTGCCTGATGCTGCTAAGAAGTAATTATGGAAAAAAAATATCATGTATCTAAGGTATAGAAATAAAGAACATGTAGCTAAAATATATAAAAAAAGGATATCATGTTAAGGACATGTATAAAAAAAAAACACAGCCCACAAAAGGTGTTAGAGGCGTTCTTCTGCCTTAGTATTTATGTAATTATGTTTTATTTATTTATTTATATGTGTAAAATCTTGATATTGATTTTACTACTTAGAGAAGCAATATTTTCCTCTTAAAACTAAAGGTTATGGTTGGAGAAGTTACATATTATATGCATATATATGTAATACACATAAATACATTGTATATACATATGTAGTCTAGAACTATAGATGCCCTTGTAAGAACTAAGAAGCAAAAGTAATATATATATGTATGTATATATATATATATATATGTATGTATATATATATATAGGTATGTATATATATATATATATGTATATATATACATACATATATACATACATATGTATACATATATATGGACTCTACTGACCGTCATCTTTGATTGTAACTGGTATATTTACTAGAAATTGGCTCTGTTTCATCAATGGTCAATGTGTTATATCCTATCCCATCAATCGTGCCAATACTGGTATACTGGCAGCAGTATTTATTAGGAAATTTATGGAGAAAGGAATATGCAAGTGAACTTATTAAATTACTTGTGATGTCATCTTTCAAGTATTTTCTTGCTTTTTCATGTCAGGTTTATAATCTCCTCCATAGAACATTGAAAAAGCTGATTTGGTTATTAATCAACATTAAGCAGTGACATGTTACTTGTTCTCTTGTTCCTAGGTAAACCTTCACTTCCTAAAAACTTTGAGGAGGATACATGGGCCACATTAAAGTCTGCCATTACTGCTATATTTTTGAAGCAACCAGATCCCTGTGACTCTGAAAAGCTCTATCAGGTGGTTTTTCTAATTAATTCTCGACCCTGGTGCCTCCATTTGTGATTTCTTTTGATGGATTGATGTGGGTAGTAATTCTTTTGGCTCACAGGCTGTCAGTGATCTTTGCCTGCACAAGATGGGAGGGAACCTTTACCAACGTATACAAAAGGAATGTGAAACACATATATCTTCGACGATGTCATCATTGGTTGGTCAGAGCCCTGATTTGGTGGTATTTCTGTCGTTGGTAGAGAAATGTTGGCAGGACTTCTGTGACCAGATGTTGACAATACGTGGCATAGCTTTAGTTCTCGATAGAACATTTGTCAAACAAACACCAAACATTCACTCGCTGTGGGATATGGGATTGCAGCTGTTCAGGAAGCATCTTGCATTATCTCCAGAAGTAGAGCACAAAGTTGTTACTGGACTTTTGAGGCTAATTGAGAAGGAGAGGTGTGTTTCATGTTTCGATTCTTTAAATCATTATTTGTAGCTTTTTATCATAAGAAAAAATCATTTGTTTACTTTCTCTGAATTGTTTGAAATTTAATCCCACTTTGATTCTGTGGTTTGATTGTGTTGACATTGTGGTGACTGGTTTCTTCATATATCTGAGTTTGCCTGTTAGCTTTTACCAAGTGTAGCATCCAGCTATTTTTCATTAATAAGCATGACAACATGTTATCGCTATTCATGATATATCATCCATAAGATTGAAAGCCAGCAAAGAACTTAAAGCTAGAAATGGAATTGGCTCTTGTTTATAAACTTAGTGGTGCCTTTTTGTTGAATTTGGACTTTGTTTATGACCAGAGGTCCGGTTGCTCAACATCTTAATCTGCCTGCTGCACAATGTACGCATTCTATTGTCTTCAGGAGGGAACTCATTATAAAATACTAACTTCAATAATAGCATAAACATGGTATATGGTATAAAATATGGTGGCTTCATCATGTCCTGCATCTGGGATGCTTAAAAGATGTATGGCTGCTTAAGAAAATACAATATCTTATTGTTTTTATGTTTTTTTTGTAGTGTACTCAGGTTTTGATCTTCATTGTCAGATGAGCAATGTGTGTTATTACTAGTCTTTTGTGGAATGTAGTGTGATAGTTGTGTATTGTGATCTTCATTGTCAGATTAGCAAAATGAGGAACTTAGAGCCTCTTTAGAAGGCCTTTTTTTTGTATTTTCTTCATTCATGAAGGAATGGTAAATAATTGGTTACAGAAAAGCTTTGGTAGAGCTTTCTTGT